AACTTCTTTCTACAGAAGCAGTGGTGCTTGGAAGACACAAAATTTGTTTTCCAAGTTTGAACACTTCTGAAAATACATCTTCCAATCCGGTGTCATAGATGAATGATACGATTTCCGAAACACCCTTTCCTTTAAAATCGTCTTTGGTGTACAAAACTTTCAGTTCATTAATGAGCTTCACTTTATCGTTTGTGTTGAATCGATCACAAAAACTGTCTACTACATCTTTGGGAAATGTTTTATCATAAGAATCAAATTTGGAGCCATCTAGCAAAGCCGAATAACTGAAGCGAATATCTAATTCCTTCAATATACAATGCAGCAAAGAACAATATACTTCATAATATTTAGTATATTCATGCCGAAGGTCATTTGGTATGCCTGTTGTTTCGAAACAAGATGTTATTATTTTGTCGAATCTTTCCTCTCCTTGTAATTTCGTAATATTGTATTTTGTTTCGTTGACACTTTTGGAGCAAGCAACAAAATTTAGTTCCTTTGACTGCAGTGTCAGATACAAGATATCAGTAAAGCAAAATATCTCAGAAAATACTTTCAGGAAGAAAATTGTATCGAAATCTAGTAGAAACCCGTGGAGACCTCTGGCCATAGAGCAAGCTTCACCATCCCACACATTTTCTCCTAGGTATATTTCCCCTAAACATGAAAGAATTTCCGAATAATTGCGTTCAACGACGTTGATCATGCGCGAGTTGTAAGCCCATTTCACTTTGCAAACGTGAGGTATTTTCTTCTGCATGAACTTATTCAATTCACAATCTCTTTTTGGGCTTTGTGAAAAAAATGACGTTTGAGGGTTATTAGTACAAGAATGCAGAAGGACAAGATTGAGCACGTGTGCTTGGCAATGAATATAGTAGGCGTTAGGGAAGTTTTTTTTCACTAGCGCTTGCGTGCCACCAATATTCCCAGACATAACCTTAGCACCGTCGTATGTCTGCGCGACAAGTTTTTCAGCACCAATCTTAAAGTTGTTCAACGTCTTCATCACATGTCCGGCTATCGCATTTGCCGACTTATCCTCACTGACATCTTCAATTTGGACTAATCGTTCGACGACTCTTCCTGCATTGAAATATCGAGGTTATTTTAGTTTCATGGTAACTTAACAATAGTTAACGCACTATCATAAAAAAAAGAATATCTCACCATTTTTTAGGCAATACCGAAGTGTTGCGGCAAGCTGGGATTTCCTGGAATTGTCGGTAGTCTCATCAACCATCACTGCTACACACTCCGCATGCTGCACCTCACCAACCATTTCATCCATCATCATCTCGCCTATGATCGTGATTAATTCATTTTGTGTAGTGGCGGAAACACCGGAGAACACGACACTCTTACTAACAAAATCGTTGAAATTCGGGTCATGGAGGGCGAGGAAAGCACATAGGTCTCGGTAGTTTCCACGGTTAGATGATTTATCACTCTCATCATGCCTCCGAAAGCTTAGTCCATGAGTCGCCAGATAACACACAATCTCGATCAACTTCCACATTCCCTCTCGGTTTTTTTCTGACAAATATATTGTGATTGTTCCGCTGTACCTCTCGGCCATGGTCTATTGCTTCGTCAACTCGAATCTTCCCAAACGTCTGGAAAGCCATTGCGTTATCAATATGATCCCTCGACGCCGCGTGAACTTTGATTGCCGTTGACAAATGACTGAGATCGTTGTATCCTGTACCACTCCACATCCCTTTGTCACCAGACTTCCGAAACAGTAGACATGACCAGCAGAATAACTTCTGAAGTTTTTCGGATCCGCAAAGCCATTTCGTTTCATACGAACTCGGATTGAAGTTCCTGGTGATGGTTTTCCCCTTCCTGTTGCAAACCGACTTAAGGTTATCCATCTTTGGTCGGGGTACGTCCAGTTTCACCAGCTGTAACTTCTCTTCAACAGAGCGACGGAAAAAAGGTCTGCTTAGTATATCTTCAATCACGTCCAGCTGATTTTCTTCCGGCAATCCCATTTTGTTTTTTCTTTTAGAGCTCTTAGTCCCGATCTTTTTTTTCACTTTTCATTCACTTTCTTCATTAAGAAATCTTCATTGAAAAAAACAACAACCACATACGATTTGACGTTTACTACTCTCAACAACAGTGATGCACGAGAGCAACACTCTTGAGCGAAAGAGAGAAGAGCGAAATTTAACTACAAACCACCGGAGGAAAGCCTCCTGGAAAGCTTATCGTTGGTGTGGAAGCTTTCGGTGCACTATGGTAATGAGACGCGTTGGCTACCTTTACATCAACGATTTCCTTCATTCGGAAACTAATCCATTCAAACCACTACGCAAGTATGATACAGGCCAAAGCGTTCCTGACTGAGAGTTCCGTGTTGCAGGATAGTCGATAGCCTCGGGTGGAAATGAAACGCTTTAGCTACCTATACATTATCAATTTCCATCACTCGGAAACTAACACACTGGAAACACTATGCATATAAGATACGCTGCCAAAGCGTTTCTGGCGGATATTTCCGTGTTGCTGTTCCCCTTAGCGAAACTTTGAACTGGCGCACAAGATTTTAATTACGCGTTTTTATAGTTTTTTTTTTGTAGAATGAAAAATCAATGCGTGACAGAGCCAGATGAATTTTTGAACCAAAACAAAATGCTTACTGCTGTTTTAAAGAGTCGCACTTGACATGCCTGCATGATTTTATGTGACTTGAAGATTATTGGATTATGACTAATGATTTTATTAAGTATCATGTTAAGAGCACCTGGGCAGTGCACATGTTGCACATGTGGACGCGACGCCTCTGGGGTTTTCGGTGACACCTTTCTATTGAGGTGATTTGTTGTGAGATCCTTAATCTTGTAACCACTTCGAAACTTAAAGTGCACAAATATCAGCTTCCACGACACGTACTACAATGAAACTTGACGCTTGCTGCGGTGCAGCATACACGAAGTAGTAATTTCATGTGAAATGGGACATTAATTTCCGAAATTTGTGTAAGTGAAAATTTTAAGTGGAAGTGCTTGTAGAGCCCTTTGTGGACTCTACAAGGAATCGCCTTAAATAATATACTGTCTTCTTCTTCGTTCTGAAATTGCATTGCTCCTCGTTGATAAACCTTTTTGGTTGCGCTGTATGGGTAGGAATGCATATATATAGACATTTTTTGTTTACTTAATAAAGAAGAGCACTACTTCGGCATAGGACCCATTTGCGTCATTCACCGCTACCTCTCGGCTGTTCCTCAACCAGTTGCGTTGATTTCTTGAACGTGATTAGTGTTCACCATAATCTAGTTATACGTAAACGGAAAATCATCTCAACAAGTTGAGGGATATCTAAGACACCGCGGTAGGCGACGAAAATGGGTCCTGTGTGGAATTAGTGCTCTTCGCTTTGCAATCTGCGATAATAAATATGATGTTTTAAAGTCTACATTATTTATATTTCATCGGGTGTGAAACATGCATCGCACGACATGGCCAACTTTAAAAGATAAATATTTTTTGAAGGTCCCACGAATCATACTCCTAAGGCCAGTACTTGGTCGGTAGTTTAAATAAAAAAAATGACCATAGTGCAATCTATTAGATAATTTTGTTGACTACCCGGAAAAAATGCAATGGGATAAATCAATCACTTCTAGCTTGCTGAAACGACTTGTCTACCGATTCGACAGAAATTAATTCGGAATTTACGGTGTGACCACGGAACTACACTACCGATCATAAGTTTAATGACACCCCCAAAAAACCATGCAAATATGTTTTGTTCAATGATCTCTCATTTTACGTTCAATTTACAATCTCCAATAGGTTATTTGAATGGTATGAATGATATAGCATAAGTGTTCTACTACAACTTTTATTTCAAAAATTGGCCAACCCGATTCTCAGAAAATCAGTCACGATTCTTCGGAGTAAATTTTGAAAAATATTGTAACTTTGGGTGAACTTTAAGCACACAAAATTTGAAAATTATATTGAACAATTTGCCTACGATGAAAGTTCCATTCAATGCCTTTTAAATGATCTAAAGAGAACGAAAATTGGACGTAACATGACAGAGATATGCACCTCTATTCTGTATTTCGTTTCGAACGAAATTCTCATACAAAAAAATATTTTTTTTGTATAAGAATTTCGTTCAAAACGAAATATAGAATAGGGGTGATGAACATAACAAATTTGTCATGTTTTTTTGGGGGTGTCCTTAAACTTATGATCGGGAGTGTATACTACCCATAATCGCATATCAGTCCCATCTTTGCTTGATTTCCTATCCATATGGGACTGGTATGCGATTATAAGCAGTATATGACATAATCATTAGGAACATAATAAAGGCAAACTAATACCCTTTCAAAAAAAAAAACAAGCAAATCATCGAAATCGGTTAAAAAATGGTGAAAATATTGCCAAAATAGTGAGCGACCTCCAAAAAATGTCGACTTCATTTAAGGTTTGGGGCTCGGAGGTATATAAAATGGTTCAGTGCCCGAATAGTTAACTCGCAGAGTTTTGTCAAATATCTTCCTGCGTACGGCTCCGGGTAGTTTCGGCATCAAATAACTCTCCCCAAAGTTAAAGTCAAAATTCCATCTATATTAAAATCTGTACACCCTCCGCCTCATCGCATCGGTCGGCCCAAAGCTTCGAGCATGCCAAACACCTTGGTCGTAATGTTATCCTTTGGCAGTTCCACCTTCATCACAAACCGCTGCACCAACATCCACGGCGAGGCAACCTCATCCAAGTACTTCAGATTCATTGCCGTACACATTTTAACGCACGTTTCCACGGCTTCCTGGACCGTGTCCATCTTGTAGAATATTTGATTTAGGACAATGTAGCAGCTCTCGATGTAGGAAATTGTTGGCCCGATGGCAACCACAACGGGATTGACGCGAAGCTTCCAGACTTCCAGCAGTTCTTGGCGTTGTTTGAGATAATCGACGGCTTCCTTAAAGTCTGTGGCGTATAGGACAAAGTTGCGCGACACGTCCAGCCGGGATGGACTCCAGTGTTTTTCGTTGCGCACGGTTAGTTTGAAAAGCAGCGGTAGAAGGATGAGACACGAAGTCGAAATGTCGCTTTGGTCTGAAAAATGAAAAGGAAAATAAAGATTAATATTTTCACAATCGATGATGAATCTATTCTGATTAGGTATTTCACTTAATCTGCTACTATTTACAAGCCACCCTCCGATAGAAATGAAGCCCACTCAGGCAAACGTCCCGACCGACTTACACTTATCTACAGGACGTCGTACTGGTTGGAGTTGTCCTCGGTGAACTCTTCCTTTACCACCGGTTCAACTTGGTAGTAGTACTCTTCCGGCGGTTCCATCTGGTTCGGATTGATCGGAATAATTTGGCTGTAGCCCGCCAAAATGGGGTCGGTCCGTTTCTTGCGATTCCGTGCGACCGACTGTCGCATTTGCTTAACGTCTGCCGCACGTGCCTTCGCGTTTCGCACGCAACGATGCAGAAACTTCATGCAATCGTTGTACGTAAACAGCGGATCCGAGTGCAGAACCATCCGGTAGAACAAGTTGATCACCTTGTCGTACTTGTGGAATGCAATTTTGCTAATCTTTACACCATCTTTCTCCTTGTTCCGGCCGCTACCGGTCCAGGAGCAACGCAGCAGAAACCGCCGGTCGAAGAAGAAATCCACCGTCTGCAGACTGACGGTCCACCCTTTCCCAACGCATCGATCTTTGCCGTGGATGTTGCCCAGCGATTGCACAATGGCTTCCACGAATCGTTCATCCCGTGCACGATCCTGAAGCATTTCCAGATCTTCCAAATTCTTAACCGGCGACAGTAAACCTTCTAGAGGCTGACCGTTCGGAATGGGCCTCTGGGCCGGGACTATTGGTGCAACCGGAAGCATGGGATTCTGCAGGGCTTGTGGAATTACCGTTGGTGGAACCATCAGGCCCGGATCAGAAAGCCTACCCACGTCCGCGGGGGTATTCATCCTGTACACCCTGGCAAACTCTGATCTTATGTGAAGCTTGAATGCCTCGAATTCGGCAGTGATTCGATTCACCGTTGCCTGGAGGATTTCAACTTTCGACTCGAAAGGCGATGGAAGCGATGCTTGAACATTCACGGACGCCGTTCGGGGGACAAGATTTATAGGTTCCAGTAGATCGTTCTTTTGCGTATCGCTTCCAACGGAGCTCTTGGGTCCATTTTCGGCTGGTTTAGATGACGCAGCCAGCGATTCGGGCCCACTAAGCAACACTCTATGCATGTCGCGATTTTCCAGTGCGCTATTGATCTCCATCATTTGTTGTTCCAGATATGCCTGCAATGGAACAACAATCCATTAATTTCAAAATCTTCACATGAGAACTTATCTTTGTAGTACCTCTTCGTATGTTGTGAAATTGCTGTTCTTGATCTTACATTGGCAGGCACTGAGAGCATCTCGAACAATCTGAACGATGGGATCTGCTTTGGCTCGTTCGAATAAGCGATAACCAGCAGCACTGTTGGGCCAGTAGCATAGATCTGCTCCGTCGGAGTTTGTCGTATCATTCGTGACGTCATGATTCCAGCCGTTCTTGATAACCCACGTCGAAGGCAACGTATATAGGAAGGTACCGTCACCTTCAACGATTTCTACTATCGTATAGTTATCCATCCGTTTCGGAGCTGTAAAATGGGTGAAAGTTGCAAGTCACACAACTGGTAGTATGCATTGAAATGATGCAGGTATATCGCGGTATACCGTGGAGGTACCATATTGGAAACGGTTCCTGAATCGACGCACTCAATAATGTGCGACTATCTACAATAATTTTTTTTTTTTTAAATGTTACTTATGCAAACATTAGTTCCAGTGCTCTAGGGATGATGCTGTAGCAAAGTTTTTAAAAATACCTTGTCAAAGACGAGTGCATCATGATTAGGAACGCGTCAAATATGATGCTGGCACGGTAGTTCTTAATAAGTGATCCGATCCTTGTGAAAATCGTAATTGAGTGCAGACAACCATGATATTCAAAAGTCATGATTACAACATGGAATTGATAACATGCGAATTGTGTGTTGTGTGTTGGGTTGTCCAATCAATTTTTAGAGAACTGTCTAGTGAAGTTTAGTTTGCTTCCGATGAACATCAACTTCCAAGAAAGCTCAGCCATCTTTCGTGTAAAGTTCGACGAACTCTCGAGGAGTTCAAAAACTACAAGGGACAGCCCTATGGAGTTGTACGCAATGGTGACCGAGGGGGACGACTCTATTTACGATGCAAAAAAGATTGTGTTTTGCTGTGGCAAGCTGCGCGCACGCTGAGTAGATAATAAGAAGATTGATGACGATTCTGAAGATTTCCTCCAAAAAGATGATGAGCGATGCAAGTAGATGCGACAAATGAAAGAAGATTTTTCGAAGATTGATTCGCTAGTGTGAGATTTGTTGAGCATCTAAACTTGAGATTAAGATGTGTCGCCCCCCTCGATGGTGACGTAGGACAACGTGGTCTTATTAAATAAATCTTATTTGTTAACTGCAGCAGGAGCTTGTGTTTTGTGTAGAAAAAGGAATTTGAGCGGGGTTCTCTCTTTTTTTTTTCTTTTTTCTTCGATTTGTTTTCCGTTGATCTTGTTTTCCGTGCTGAGCACCAATGCTACCGACGCTAGGGAGGCAGCTCCCACACCTGGACCCTACCTATCGACCCATCAACTTATGAACCGGGGACCAACGGCTTTACTTCCCTTCCGAAGGTAGCTTCAGAACATCCCGATAGCGCCGACTGGGATTGAACCAAGGCCTGCTGGGGTGAGAGGTAATCACGCTTACCACTACACCACCGGTTCCGTTGGGGTTCTCTCTGTTTACACTCTTTAGTATGACGCGCTTGACATAGATGACCCACAGCGACTCACGAAGAGCTACTGATTCCGATCAATAGCGGTGTGGCTTCTTCCTCCTTTCATGGATGCTCATATGGGCTGCAGCTCGCTGCTTGCAGGCAGCCTTTCGTTGTGTACTAGAGAACACCACCACTAGCCACGCGGTGATTGAATAAACACCGTTTAGTGGGACCGGATGGAATTCAACTTTAAAATCTGTGTTAGGGAAATCGCTTTTCGCAGGCAATCGGTGGTATTTTCATTTTCATAGCAACAATTGCACATTCGTGCAATTTTCAATAGTGACATTTTGAAAAACAATAAAGTCTTAATTTTAACAAATCGTAGAAAAAATTCTATCGATTGGCGTATTAAGAATTAAAATTCATCATCTCTGGATCGAAATCAGACCACTTTCATGCCGCGACCGACTTTGGTTTTGAAATTGCAAACCCAATGTTGCCTTAAACGGTTCCAAATTGGGCCCTGATTCGCTTCCCAAAATTTGAACTCATTTAGTGAGAAACTGACTTGGCACAAACCATTTAAACTTTATATGGGAATTACTATGGAGAAACCATAATTTCGATTCATATCTATTTCAAAATTCACCAATTCTTTCTACTTTAGAAAATGATAGCTGAGCTTGTTGAAAATTTTCTCAGCTACAACTTTGTTCAAGACTAGTAAGGAACAAAAGTTATTAATGATTCAAGTCACTGATGTCTTATGATTATGCTCAATCAACTGTTCAGCAGGCAACAATGGTGTCTATGGCGCCTAGAAAAGAGGAAAAAAATCATGGCTACTATGTCACACTGCAAAATACAGTGTTGCCCACAATACAGTTGCTTAATCTTGCCATAAGATTATCAATCTCTTAAATAATTAATAACTATTTAATTTGGCGTTTGGCTGAAGAACGACTTTCTGCTAAGTTGTAGCTGATGAAAATTCCGGTAAGAATAGTTGTAGAATTTGTTTACAGTACAGTATGTTAAAAGGCTAAAAGGCAATGAACACAAAGTTTTGTTTTCCCATAGTAATTTCCATATAAACTTCAAATGATTTGTGCCAAGTCAGTTTCTTATCAAATGGGTTTAAACTTTCGGAGGCTAAATAATTAGGTCCCGATGTGAATCCGTTTGAACACTGTGGAGCGACAATTTCAAACTTTGCATCAGACTAGTGGGCAAGCCTTGATTTTCATGACATCATCGAAAGAAGTCATTGTTTACAAAAGCTGTTACTCCCTAATTCCAGCTCTATTTTGATATGGGAACTGACATCCGATTGATGACCTTGAAAAATGTCCAAAAATAAACGTTTACAATTTTATGGTGATCCTGAAAAGGACCGTTTTGTCGTGATGGTTGAGTAATGCTGAGCTATAAGGGTGGGAAACACATATGAGGCTGGTGAGCTGTATGTTGTTTGGAATGAGAGTGACGCGCTTGGCATAGATGTGGGCTGCAACTCACTACTTGCAGGCAGCCTTTCGTTGTGTACTGGAGAACAATGTTCAACGCCACGCGCCGACAGCGGACACCACCACACACGGTGATTGAACTGAATCCGATCAGTGGTTGAGGGTAGCCTTGATAGCTAACTGTTTGGGGGGGCCTTTTGTTGTGTACTGGAGAACACCACCACTCACCACGCGGTTATTGAATAAACACCATTTGGTGAGACCGGATGCAATTCAACTTTGAAATCTGTGTTAGGGATATCGATTTTCGCAGGCAATCGGTGTTAATATTAATAATCACAACAACAATTGCTCATTCGTGAAATTTTCAATACAGGGCGGACTCGATTATCCGGAGTCTTGAAAAACAATTCACTCCGGATAATCAAATCCTCCGGATAATCGACCCATAAAAAAAAATTTGTGGTCTTATGTGGTTTTCATTTAATGTTTTTAGTGGTCCCATTGAACTCTATTGAAGGATTATGGAATCGGACCAAGGTTTTAAGTACCTTGGACCATATTGGCCACTTCCGGGCAAGTTCCGGGTGCCTCCGGATAAGTGGCCATAACCAGACTTGAATAATAACCTATCATGCAACACATCAGATTATATCAAAATTCGATAACCAGATCAATGGTGGAAAAAATTAAGTACCTTGGACCATATAGGCCACTTCCGGACAAGTTCCAGGTGCCCCGGGAAAGTGACCAGAATCGGACTTGGATAATAACCTATCATGAGCACATTAAAAAACATCAAAATTCGATAAGAAGATCAATGGAATTGAACCCATGGACCATCCGCTTGAGAAGCGAACGTGTAGTCAACCACGCCATGGGACCCCTCAACTTGAGAAAAATCGTAGTCTCGCGACTCTCACGAGTGTGTAGAGACAAAGTTGAGCCTGGCTAAAAATCACCGCTACCTGAAGGCACCATATTTGACGCGGTTCCTAACTTGACGCACTCGATCAATTTCGACCATTTTCCATTAATATTTTTGAAATGTTAACGTTGCAAATATTAGTTCCAGTGCTCTAGGGATGATAGTGTAACAATTTTTTTTGAAAGCATCTCACCAAAATCGAATTGTAATTAAAAATAGACAAGTGCGTCACCATTAGGAACCGCGTCAAATGTGGTGCTGGCACGGTACATACTTGACTGTAGCACACAAATAACAAATCCCAGGTAATCATGACAGTTAGAGGTGGGCTATTTATATTTTACTGCCCGCTTCATCGGTTTCGAAACGAAGTTGTGGAAATCGCTGTGGAAAGACATCGATTCGCGAGTGTGTGCAGCCAGATATATTTGAACGAAGAAGAAGAACGAACGAAATCGGTTTCTTGTCGGAACCGAATGTGTAGCCGGGGTTGGTCGCCGGCCTGAAGGCTAAGAGAACTTTGTGGGTTTCGTGACACGTTTTCGCATATCCAGATATTCAAAGTGAACAAAATGGCGGAAGTACAGACGATTAGTGGAAAGTTTCGAGTCAAGAGACGCCGAGTAGTTTTGTCGATGAAAGAAAAGGTTAAAAATTTTGAAGATTTTGAGAAAGGGTTATCTGTCAGTGATATAATGCGCAAATATAACATTCCGGAATCGACTGCACATGATTTGAAGAAGAAGAAAAACCAATTGAAAGGCGAAATTGCACACCAACAAATACCATTGGGTAAGTCACGGCTTTTGGAGATTTTTTTTTTTGAAAAAGATGTATTTTATACATATGTGTTGATTTTCCGACTGTTGAGATTGCTTAATTTCGGTATTTGGCTAAGCAGTCTAGCGAGTTCAAACCACAGTACGGTTTGAACTCTCTAGACTGCATAGCCAAATCCCGAAATTTTATACATATGTGCCTGGCAATGATATTTGTTTTTTTTTTGTATAGATAAACGCAAGACTCTGAAGAAAGCAAAGTACCCTCTACTGGACAATGCTTAGCACATTTGGTTCTTGCAGAAGCGGGAGCAACACATTCCTGTCAGTCAAGACATGTTGGCTGTCCAAGCCAGAAAATTATTTAATGAAATTTATGGCGAAGGACAGTTTCGGGGAAGTCGAGGATACACACGAAAGTTCATCCAATGACATAACATTCGTTTTCTCAAAATTACCGGTGAAAAGCTATCGAATGATGTCGCTTGTATTGATGCATATGTCAGTCAATTTGCCAGCATAGTTCGACACAATGAATTATCTGCTGCACAAATTTTCAACGCTGATGAAAGTGGTTTGACTACACGCTAATGGAAGTACTCATTAATGAGTAAAAAAAGACCCATTTTGAAGAAAAGTGGCTTAACTCATTAATGATTAAA